TAACAGGGATCCGGACGCATAGAATCACATATATTAACCGCATATAGATAGACACAAAAAGACAAGAATGCATAACACATACACAGGGATCCGGGATACCCATATACATGGGGATCCAGAGGCATAGACCCACATATATATTACCCAAGGATAAGACAAGAATACGGACGCACAGGTCCTCATGCTAACAGGGATCCGACGTATAGAATCACATATAATAACCATAGACAAAATGCATAACAAAGTGGATACGGATGAATAGACCCACATACATAAGACAAGAATACGGACGCATAGGTCCACATACATAACAGGGACCCGACGCATAGAATCACATATACAACTATAGACACAAATGCATAACAAGGGGATCCAGACGCATAGACCCACATACATAAGACAAGAATATGGACGCATAGGTCCATATATAACAGGGATCCGGACACAGAATACATATACAACTGTATAGACACAAATGCATAAACAAGGATATGGATGATAGACCCATACATAGACAAGAATACGGACGCATAGGTCCGCACATAACAGGGATCCGGACGCATAGAATCACATATACAACTGTATAGACACAAATGCACAACAAGGACATGGATGCATAGATTCCACATACATAAGACAAGAATACGGACGCATAGGTCCACATACATAACAGGGATCCGACGCATAGAATCACATATATAACCGTAAGCACACAAATGCATAAATAAGGGGATATGGACGCACAGACCCACATTATTAAGACAAGAATAAGGACGCATAGGTATCCTGCACACATACCAGGGATCCGACGCATAGAACTCATATATTAACCGTACAGACACAAAATGCAACAAGGGGATATTGATGCTAGGACCACATACATAAGACAAAGAATACGGACGCATAGGTCCACATAACATAACAGGGATCCGGACGCATAGAATCACACATATTAACCGTATAGACACAAATGCATAACAGTGGGATACGGATGGTTGTAGACCCCACATACAAGACAAGAATATGGACGGTTAGGTCCGCATACATACAGGGATCCGGACGCATGAATCACATATACAACTGTAGACACAAATGCATAAATAAGGGCGACTACAGACTCACATAAGAGCAAGAGACAAGAATACTGTAATGCATAGGTCTGCATACATAACAGGGATCCGACGTAGAATCACATATAATAACCGTATAGACACAAATGCATAACAAGGGGACACAGGACGACACCACATACATAAGACAAGAATACACTAGGTCCGCATACAATAGGATCCGATGCATAGAATCACATATATTAACTGTATAGACACAAATGCATAACAAGGACATGGATGTATAGACCCACATAAGACAAGAACATGGGACGCATAGGTCCACATACATAACAGGGATCCGGACGCATAGAATCACATATATTAACCGTATAGACACAAATGCATAACAAGGGGATACGGATGCATAGACCCACATACATAAGACAAGAATACGGACGCATAGGTCCACATACATAACAGGGATCCGGACGCATAGAATCACATATATTAACCGTATAGACACAAATGCATAACAAAGGGATACGGATGCATAGACCCACATACATAAGACAAGAATACGGACGCATAGGTCCACATACATAACAAACAAGGATCCGGACGCATAGAATCACATATATTAACCGTATAGACACAAATGCCAACAAGGGGATACGGACGCATAGACCCACATACATAAGACAACAGAATACGGACGCATAGGTCCACATACATAACAGGGATCCGGACGCATAGAATCACATATATTAACCGTATAGACACAAATGCATAACAAGGGATACGGATGCATAGACCCACATACATAAGACAAGAATACGGACGCATAGGTCCGCATACATAACACGGGATCCGGACGTAGAATCACATATATTAACCGTATAGACACAAATGCATAACAAGGGATACGGATGCATAGACCCACATACATAAGACAAGAATACGGACGCATGGGTCCACATACATAACAGGGGATCCGACGCATAGAATCACATATATTAAAATGCCGTATAGACACAAATGCATAACAAGGGGATACGGATGCATAGACCCACATACATAAAGACAAGAATACGGACGCATGGGTCCACATACATAACAGGGATCCGGACGCATAGAATCACATATATTAACCGTATAGACACAAATGCATAACAAGGGGATACGGATGCATAGACCCACATACAAGACAAGAATACGGACGCATGGGTCCACATACAAGGCCACAGGGATCCGGACGCATAGAACACATATACAACTGCACAGACACAAAATGCATAATAAGTGGGACATGGATGGACAGACCCACATACATAAGACAAAGAATATGGACGCATAGGTCCACATACATAACAGGGATCCGGGACGCATAGAATCACATATACAACCGTATAGACACAAAATGCACAACAAACAACAGGGACGCACAGACCCACATACATAAGACAAGAATACGACGCATAGGTCCACATACACAACAGGGATCCGGACGTATAGAATCACATACAACTGTACAGACAAATGCATAACAAGGACATGACGCATAGACCCACATACATAAGATATATCAAGAATACGGGACGCATAGGTCCGCATACAAGGACCCGGACGCATAGAATCAAGCATATATTAATCCGTGTATAGACAAAAAATGCATAAATAAGGGACACGGGATGCATAGACCCACATACAAGAAGACAAAGAATATGACAAGAATACGGACGCACATACATAAGGGATCCGGACGCATAGAATCATATATTAACCGTATGAACACAAATGCATAACAAGGGGATACGGATGCATAGACCCATACATAAGACAAGAATACGGACGCATCCACATACATAACAGGGATCCGGACGCATAGAATCACATATATTAACCGTATAGACACAAATGCATAACAAGGGGATACGGATGCATAGACCCACATACATAAGACAAGAATACGGACGCATAGGTCCACATACATAACAGGGATCCGGACGCATAGAATCACATATATTAACCGTATAGACACAAATGCATAACAAGGGGATACGGATGCATGAACCCACATACATAAGACAAGAATACGGACGCAGAATACGGGATCCGGACGCATAGGTCCATATATTATACACAAATGCATAACAACAAGGGATACGGATGCATAGACCCCACATACATAAGACAAGAATACGGACGCATATACATAACAGGGATCCGGACGCATAGAATCACATATATTAACCGATACACACAAATGCATAACAAGGGGATACGGATGCATAGACCCACATACATAAGACAAGAATACGGACGCATAGGTCCACATACATAACAGGGATCCGGACGCATAGAATCACATATATTAACCGTATAGACACAAATGCATAACAAGGGATACGGATGCATAGACCCACATACATAAGACAAGAATACGGACGCATAGGTCCACATACATAACAGGGATCCGGACGCATAGAATCACATATATTAACCGTATAGACACAAATGCATAACAAGGGGATACATACATAACAGGATGCATAGACCCATATACATAAGACAAGAATACGGACGCATAGGTCCACATACATAACAGGGGATCCGGACGCATAGAATCACATATATTAACCGTATAGACACAAAATGCATAACAAGGGGATACGGATACATAGACCCACATACATAAGACAAGAATACGGACGCATAGGTCCACATACATAACAGGGATCGGACGCATAGAATCACATATATTAACCGTATAGACACAAAATGCAAATGGACATAACCCAGGGATAAGGATGCATAGACCACATAGGTCCGCATACAGACAAGGATACGGACGCATAGGTCCGTATAGACATACATAACAAGGGATCCGGACGCATAGACCCAATCACATAATATTCCAATACATAACGTATAGACACAAATACATATAGACAAATGCATAACAAGGGATACGGATGCATAGACAAGAATATGGACCCACATACATTATATTAACCGGTAGACATAAGACACGCATAGAATCACATATATTAACCGGACGCATAACAAGGTCGGACGCATAGACATACATAAGACAAGAATACGGATCGGACGCATAGGGATCGGACGCATAGAATCACATATATTAACCGTATAGACACAAATGCATAACAAGGGGATACGGATGCATAGACCCACATACATACAGACAAGAATATGGACAATAGGTCCAATACATAACAGGATCCGGACGCATAGAATCACATATAAACCGTATAGACACAAATGCAAACAAGGGGATACGGACGCATAGACCCACATACATAAGACAAGAATACGGACGCATAGGTCCACATACATAACAGGGATCCGGACGCATAGAATCACATATATGCATATAGACACAAATGCATAACAAGGATACGGATGCGCAGACCCCACATACATAAGACAAGAATACGGACGCATAGGTCCACATACATAACAGGGATCCGGACGCATAGAATCACATATATTAACCGTATAGACACAAATGCATAACAAGGGGATACGGACGCATAGACCCACATACATAAGACAAGAATACGGACGCATAGGTCCACATACATAACAGGGATCCGGACGCATAGAATCACATATATTAACCGTATAGACACAAATGCATAACAAGGGGATACGGATGCATAGACCCACATACATAAGACAAGAATACGGACGCATAGGTCCACATACATAACAGGGATCCATATATTAAATAGAATCACACATATTAACCGTATAAGACATGGATGCATAACAACATACATATACGGATGCATACGACCCCACATACATAAGATCACGCATAGAATACGGACACAAATGCATAACAAGGTCCGCATAGACCCATACATAACAAGAATACGGACGCATAGGTCCACATACATACAGGACCGCATAGAATCACATATATTAACCGTATAGACACAAATGCATAACAAGGGGATACGGATGCATGACCCACATACATAAGACAAAATACGGACGCATAGGTCCACATACATAACAGGGATCCGGACGCATAGAATCACATATATTAACCGTATAGACACAAATGCATAACAAGGGGATACGGATGCATAGACCCACATACATAAGACAAGAATACGGACGCATAGGTCCACATACATAACAGGGATCCGGACGCATAGAATCACATATATTAACCGTATAGACACAAATGCATAACAAGGGGATACGGATGCATAGACCCACATACATAAGACAAGAATACGGACGCATAGGTCCACATACATAACAGGGATCCGGACGCATAGAATCACATATATTAACCGTATAGACAAATGCATAACAAGGGATACGGATGCATAGACCCACATACATAAGACAAGAATACGGACGCATAGGTCCGCATACATAACAGGGATCGGACATAGAATCACATATATTAACCATATAGACACAAATGCATAACAAGTGGATAGACCCACATACATAACAAGGGACGATGCACAGACCCACATAATACAAGAATACGGACGCACAGGTCCACATACATAACAGGGATCCGGACGTATGAATCACATATATTAACCGTATAGACACAAAAATGCATAACAAGGGGATACGGATGCATAGACCCACATACATAAGACAAGAATACGGACGCATAGGTCCACATACATAACAGGGATCCGGACGCATAGAAATCACATATATTAACCGTATAGACACAAATGCATAACAAGGGGATACGGATGCATAGACCCATATACATAAGACCCGCATAGGTCCACATACAATCCGACATAGAATACGGACACAAATGCATAGGGGATCCGCATACCCACATACATAAGACAAAGAATACGGACGCATCCACATACATAACAGGGATCGGACGTAGAATCACATATATTAACCGTATAGACACAAATGCATAACAAGGGGATACGGATGCATAGACCCACATACATAAGACAAGAATACGGACGCATAGGTCCGCATACATAACAGGGATCCGGACGCATAGAATCACATATATTAACCGTATAGACACAAATGCATAACAAGGGAATACGGACGCATAGACCCACATACATCCGGACGTATAGACAAGAATACGGACGCATAAGGTCCGGACATACATAACAGGGATCGGACGCATAGAATCCGGACGCATAGTCACATATATTAACCGTATAGACACAAATGCATAACAAGGGGATACGGATGCATAGACCCACATACATAAGACAAGAATACGGACGCATAGGTCCGCATACATAACTTCGGGATCCGGACGTATAGAATCACATATATTAACCGTATAGACACAAATGCATAACAAGGGGATACGGATGCATAGACCCACATACAGACAAGAATAAACGGACGCATAGGTCCGCATACATAACAGGGATCGGACGCATAGAATCACATATATTAACCGTATAGACACAAATGCATAACAAGGGGATCCGGATGCATAGACCCACATACATAAGACAAGAAAACGGACGCATAGGTCCGCATACATAACAGGGATCCGGACGCGGAATCACATATATTAACGGTATAGACACAAATGCATAACAAGGGGATACGGACGCATAGACCCACATACATAAGACAAGAATACGGACGCATAGGGTCCACATACACAGGGATCCGGACAGGATCCCGGACGCATAGAATCACAAGGGGATATATTAACCATACATAAGACAAGAAATGGTCCGCATAACACAGGGATCCGATACGGAATCACATGAACCCATACAAAATGCATAACCCACATACGAGAATACGGACGCATAGGTCCGCATACATAACAAGGGATCGGTCAAATCCACATACATATTAACCATAGAATCATATATTAACCGTATAGACACAATGCGCAACAAGGGGGATACGGATGCGCATAGACCCACATACATAAGACAAGAACGCATAGGTCCACATACATAATAGGGATCCGGACGCATAGAATCACATATATTAACCGTATAGACACAAATGCATAACAAGGGGATACGGACATAGACCCACATACATAAGACAAGACGGACGCATAGTTCCACATACATAACAGGGATCGGACGTATAGAATCACATATATTAACCCGTATAGACACAAATGCATAACAAGGGGATACGGATGCATAGACCCACATATATAAGAGACAAGAATATGGACGCATAGGTCCGGCATACATAACAGGGATCGGACGCATAGAATCCACATATATTAACCGTATAGACACAAATGCATAAGGGGATACGGATGCATAGACCCACATACATAAGACAAGAATACGGACGCATAGGTCCACATATACACTGCAGGGATCGGACATAGACCATATATGTATATAGACACAAATGCATAACAAGGGGATACGGATGCATGAACCCATACATAAGACAGAATACGGACACTAGGTCACGCCACATAATAGGGATCGGACGCATAGAATCATATATTAACCATATAACAGACACAAATGCATAACAAGGGATACGGATGCATAGACCACATAAGACAAAGACAAATACGGACGGGTCCACATTAACAGGGGATCCGGACGCATAGAATCACATATAATAACCGTATGAACACAAATGCATAACAAGGGGATCCGGATGCATACCCCCATCGCATAAGACAAGAATACGGACGCATAGGTTATACACTGCTGGGGATCGGACGCATAGAATCACATATATTAACCGCTATAGACTGGAAATGCATAACAAAGGGGATCCGGATGCATAAACCCACATACATAAGACAGAATACGGACGCATAGGTCCACATACATAACAGGATCGGACGCATAGAATCACATATATTAACCGTATAGACACAAATGCATAACAAGGGGATCGGACGCATAGACCCACATACATAAGACAAAGAATACGGACATGGGTCACGCCATAACAGGGATCCGGACGCATAGAATCACATATATTAACCGTTTTAGACACAAATGCATAACAAGGATACGGATGCATAGACCCACATACATAAGACAAGAATACGGACGCATAGGTCCTATACATAACAGGGATCGCATAGAATCCACATATAATTAACCGTAGACACAAATGCGCATAACAAGGGGATACGGATGCATAGACCCCTTACATAAGACAAGAATACGGACGCATAGGTCCAAATACATAACAGGGGATCGGACACATAGAATCCATATATTAACCGTATGAACTAAATGTCATAACAAGGGGATACGGATGCATAGACCCACATACATAAGACAAGAATACGGACGCATAGGTCCGCATACATAACAGGATCGGACGCATAGAATCATATATTAACCGTATAGACACAAATGCATAACAAGGGGATACGGATGCATAGACCCCACATACATAAGACAAGAATACGGACGCATAGAGTCCACATACATAACAGGGGATCCGGACGTATAGAATCCATATATTAACCGTATAGACACAAATGCATAACAAGGGGATACGGATGCATAGCCACATACATAAGAATACGGCCACGGGTCCACATACATAACAACAGGGATCGGACGCATAGAATCATATATAACCAATATAAACCTAAATGCATAACAAGGGATCAGTGCATAGACCCACATACATAAAACAGAATACGGCAGACGCATGGGATCCACATACATAACAGGGATCGGACGCATAAAGATCACATATATTAACCGTATAGACACAAATGCATAACAAGGGGATACGGATATGAACCCACATACATAAGACAAGAATACGGACGCATGGGTTCGCATACATAACAGGGGATCGGACGCATAGAATTTACATATATTAACCGTGAACACAATGCATAACAAGGGGATACGGATACGCCCACATACGCCAAGACGAAATACAGTTTTTAGGTCCGCATACATAGCACCTGAGGGATCGGACGTATAGAATCACATATATTAACCGTATAGACACAAATGCATAACAAAGGGATACGGATGCATAGACCCCACATATATAAGACAAATACGGACGCATAGGTCCACATACATAACGGATCCGGACGCATAGAATCCACATATATTAACCGTATAGACACAAAAAATGCATAACAAGGGATACGGATGCATGAACCCCATAACATGAACAGAATACGGACGCATAGGTCCACATACATAACAGGGATCGGACGCATAGAATCACATATAATGTGTATATAGACACAAATGCATAACAAGGGACCGGATGCATAGACCCACATACATAAGACAGAATACGCATAGGTCCACATACATAACAGGGATCGGACGTATAGAATCACATATATTAACCGTATAGACACAAATGCATAACAAGGGATACGGATGCATAGACCCACATACATAAAGACAAGAATACGGATGCATAGGTCCGCATACTAACGGGATCCGGACGCATAGGGAATCACCTTATATTAACCGTATGAACACAGAGGATGCATAACAAGGGGGATACGGATGCATAGACCCACATTCTGCTAGGGGTCCGGACGTATAACAGAATATTAACGGACACAAATGCATAACAAGGTCCCCGCATACATAAGACAAGGATCCGGACACATAGAATCCCCCTATACCTTATCGGACATAAATCCGTATGTATTATGACACAAATGCATAACAAGGGGATACGGATGCATAGACCCATACATAAGACAAGAATACGGACGCATAGGTCCACATACATAACAGGGATCCGGACGCATAGAATCACATATATATTAACCGTATAGACACAAATGCATAACAGGGGATACGGATGCATAGACCCCACATACATAAGACAGGAGAATATGGACGGTTGCATAGGTCACGCATACATAACAGGGATCCGGACACATAAATCACATATAATAACCGTATAGACACAAATATAACAAGGGGATACGGATGCATAGACCCACTACATAAGACAAAAATACGGACGCATAGGTCCCGCATACATAGCTGGGAGGATCCGGACATAAATCACATATAATAACCGTATGAACACAAATGCATAACAAGGGGATACGGATGCATAGACCCACACATACATAAAGACAAGAATACGGACGCATAGGTCCCACCCATACATAACTGGGATCGGACGCATAGAATCACATATATATTAACCGTATAGACACAAATGCATAACAAGGGGATGGATGCATAGACCCCACATACATAAGACAAGAATACGGACGCATGAGGTCCACATACATAACAGGGATCCGGACGTATAGAATCACATATATTAACCGTATAGACACAAATGCATAATAAGGGATACGGATGCATAGACCCACATAAGACAAGAATACGGACATGGGTCCCGCATACATAACTGGGGATCGGACGCATAGAATCACATATATTAACCGTATAGACACAAATGCATAACAAGGGGATACGGACGCATAGACCCCACATACATAAGACAGAATACGGACGCATAGTTCCACATACATAACAGGGATCCGGACGCATGGTCACATATATTGGACACATTATATGACCCACAAATGCATACGGACGCATAGGTCCACATATACGGATGCATGAACCCCATACTAACCGTAAGACAAAATAATACGGACGCATAGGTCACATACATGAACAAAACATGGGATCCGGGGACAGGACATAGAATCACATATATTAATAATATAGACACAAATGCATAAACAAGTGGATACGGATGCATAGACCCACATACATAAGACAAGAATACGGACGCATAGGTCCACATACATAACAGGGGATCCGGACGCATAGAATGCATATATTAACCGTATAATTTTAAATGCATAACAAGGGGATACGGATGCATAGACCCATACATAAGACAAGAATACGGACGCATAGGTCCGCACATAACAAGGGATCGGACGCATAGAATCACATATATTAACCGTATGAACCTGGAAATGCATAACAGGGATACAGATGCATAGACCCACATACATAAGACAGAATACGGACGCATAGGTCCACAGCCACATAACCTGGGATCGGACGCATAGAATCACATATATTAACCATGTAGACACAAATGCATAACAAGGGATACGGATGCATAGACCCACATACATAAGACAAAAATACGGACGCATTAGGTCCGCATACATAACAGGGATCGGACGCATAGAATCACATATATTAACCAAATATGGGCCTAAATGCATAACAAGGGGGATCCGGACGCATGGAACCCACATATAAGACAAAATACGGACGCATGGAGTCACATACCTGCAACAAGGGATCCGGACGCATAGAATCACATATATTAACCGTATAGACACAAATGCATAACAAGGGGATACGGACGCATAGACCCCACATATACATAAAATACGGACGCATGGGTCCACATACATAACCTGGGGATCCGGACGCATAGAATCACATATATTAACCGTTTAGACACAAATACGCCGCTTAAGGGATACGGATGCATAGACCCATACATAAGACAGAATACGGCGCATAAGGTCCCATACATACATAGGGATCGGATCGCATAGAATCCATATATTAACCGTATAGACACAAATACATAACAAGGGGATACGGATGCGTAGACCCACATATATAAGACAAGAATACGGACGCATAGGTCCACGCCATAACAGGGATCCGGACGCATAGAATCACATATATTAACCATATAGACACAAATGCATAACAAGGGGATACGGATGCATAGACCCATACATAAGACAAGAATACGGACGCATGGGTCCACATACATAACAAGGGATCGGACGCATAAGTCACATATATTAACCGTATAGACACAAATGCATAACAAGGGGATACGGATGCATAGACCCACATATAAGACAGAATACCGGACGCATAGGTCCACATACCTGCTGGGATCCGGACACATAGAATTACATATATTAACCATGTGAACACAAATGCGCCAACAGGGATACGGATGCATAGACCCCCACATACATAGGAACAAGAATACGGACGCATAGGTCCCCGCCCATATTTCTGGGATCCCAGGACATAGAATCACATATATTAACCGTATAGACACAAATGCATAACAAGGGGATACGGATGCATAGACCCACATACCATAAGACAAGAATACCGGACGCATAGGTCCACATACATAACAGGGATCCGCATATAGAATCACATATATTAACCGTATACAAGCGCACCAACACGGGGATACGGATGATCCGGACGCCCATAGAATCACATATCGCATACATAACAAGGGATCGGACGCATAGAATCACAAAACCGCATAAACAAATGCATAACAAGGATACGGATGCATAGACCACATACATAAGACAAGAATACGGACGCATAGGTCCACATACATAACAGGGATCCGGACGCATAGAATCACATATATTAACCGTATAGACACAAATGCATAACAAGGGGATACGGACGCATGACCCACATACATAAGACAAGAATACGGACGCATAGGTCCACATACATAACAGGGATCCGGACGTCATAGAATCACATATACAACTACATAGACAAAATAAATGCATAACAAGGGATACATGACATATATTACCCGGCGATACAGAAGCTACATAAGACAAGAATACGGACGCATGGGTCCACATACATAACAGGGATCCGGACGCATAATCACATATATTAACCGTATAGACACAAATGCATAACAAAGGGATACGGACGCATGAACCCACATACATAACGCATAGGTCCGCAAGAATCCCGGACGCATAAATCCACATATATTAACCGTAGGGATGCATAACGGATACGGACATAGACCATACATAAGACAAGAATACGGACGTATAGGTATAGGGATCGGACAGAATCACATATATTAACCGTATAGACACAAATGCATAACAAGATGGACATAGACCCACATACATAAGACAAGAATACGGACGCATAGGTCCACACATACATAACAGGGATCCGACGCATAGAATCACATATATTAAACTGTATAGACAAAATGCATAAGGGATACGGATGCATAGACCCACATACATAAGACAAGAACAAATGGATACCATAGACTTCATACATAAGACAAACAGGGATCCGGACGCATAGAATCACATATATTAACCGTATAGACACAAATGCATAACAAGGGATACGGATGCATAGACCCCACATACATAAGACAGAATGGACGCATAGGGTCCATACATAACAGGGATCCGGACGCATAGAATCATATATTAACCGTATAGACACAAATGGCAACACAGGGGATGGATGTGCACAGACCCACATACATAAGACAAGAATACGGACGCATAGGTCCGCATACATAACAGGGATCCGACGCATAGAATCACATATTAACCGTATGAGAAAATGCATAACAAAGGACATACGGATGCATAGACCCACATACATAAGACAAAATACGGGACGCATAGGTCCACATACATAAATAGGGATCCGGACGCATAGAATCATATATTAACCGTATAGACACAAATGCATAACAAGGGGATACGGATGCATAGGACCCACACATACATAAGACAAGAATACGGACGCATAGGTCCACATACATAACAGGATCCGGACGCATAGAATCACATATATTAACTCGTATAGACACAAATGCATAACAAGGGATACGATGCATAGACCCACACATAAGAGACAAGAATAGCGGACGCATAGGGTCCGCATACATAACAGGGATCCGGACGTATAGAATCACATATATTACCGTATAGTGGTTAATAAATGCATAAGGGGATACGGATGCATAGACCCACATACATAAGACAAGAATATGGACGGGTCCGCATGCATCCGGACGCATAGAATCACATATATTAAACTATACACAAATGGCTAACAGGGATCCATGCATAGCACATAGACATACGGACATATCACAACACAACAGGGATCCGGACGCATAGAATAACATAACCGTATAGACACAAATGCATAACAAGGGACATGGATAGACCCACATACATAAGACAAGAATACGGACATAGGTCCGCATACATAACAGGGGGACATGGATCACATATAGCATAGAATCACATATACGGATGCATGAACCCATATAGAAATGGTCAACAAATGCATAACAAAGATCCATTGCATAGACCCACATAAGACAAGAATACGGACGCATAGGTCCACGGACATAACACAGGGATCCGACGCATAGAATCACATAGGCTAACCGTATAGACACAAATGCTGGCAACAAGGGATCCGACGCATGAATACATACATAAGACAAGAATACAACGCATAGTCCGCATAGGATCACAAATCACGCATAACTGTATAGACACAAATGCATAACAAAGATACGGATGCAGACCCACATACATAAGACAAGAATACATGACAAGAATACGGGACGCGCATAGGGTCCATACATAACAGGGCGATCCGACGCATAGAATCCACATATATACGGTGTAACCTTATAGACAAAAGACGCTGCATAACAAGGGATACGGATGCATAGACCCACATACATACGGACGAGACAAGAATACGGACGCTTGATAGGTCCAACATACACAACAGGGATCCGGGGACGCATAGAATCACATATACGCCCTCATAACCGGGATAGACCCACAAATGCATAACAAGGGGACATGGATCCACACGCCACCGACAGACCCACATACATAAGACAAGAATACGGACGCATAGGTCCGCATACATAACAGGGATCCGGACGGCTGTAATCACATATACAACTGTATAGACACAAATGCATAACAAGTGGATACGGGATGCATAGACCCACATACAAAGACAAGAATACGGACGCATAGGGATCCGGACAATACAAACAGGGACCGGGGACGGATGCATAGAATCAAGAATACGGACGCATAGGTTACAATCCGGACGCATAGACACAAAAAATGCAGACACAAAAATGGGGATACGGATGCATAGACCACATAAGACAAGAATACGGGATAAGACAAGAATCATATACAATGGGAGAGACGCATAGGGGATATAATGCATAGACCACATACATAATAGGGTATAGGGTCCGGGACGCATAGAATCACATATATAGACCAAATGTATAGACACAATGCATAAGACAAGAATACGGACATAGGTCTGCGTACATACACAGGGTCCATAGACATGAACTACATAACAGGGATCCGGGACCGACGCATAGAATCACATATATTAACCGTATAGACACAAATGCATAACAAGGGGATACGGATGCATAGACCCACATACATAAGACAAGAATACGGACGCATAGGTCCGCATACATAACAGGGATCCGGACGCATAGAATCACATATATTAACCGTATAGACACAAATGCATAACAAGGGGATACGGATGCATAGACCACATACATAAAGACAAGAATACGGACGCATAGGTCCACATACATAACAGGGATCCGGACGCATAGAATCACATATATTAACCGTATAGACACAAATGCATAACAAGGGGATATACGCATAGACCCATACATAAGACAAGAATACGGACGCATAGGTCCACATACATAACAGGGATCCGGACGCATAGAATCACATATTAACCGTATAGACACAAATGCATAACAAGGGGATACGGATGCATAGACCCACATACATAAGACAAGAATACTCCAGGTCCGCATAACAGGGATCCGACGTAGAATCACATATTAAACTGTATAGACAATGCATAACAAGGGGATGCGGATGCATGAACCCACATATAAGACAGAATACGGACATAGGTCCACATACATAACAGGGATCGGACGTATAGAATCCATATATTAATGACTATAGACACAAATACATAATAAGGGGATACGGATGCATAGACCCACATACATAAGACCTGCAAAGAATACGGACAGGTCCCATACATAACAAGGGATCGGACGAATAAGTCATATATTAACCAAATATGAACACAAATGAATAACAAGGGGACGCATGCATAGACCCATACATAAAGACAAGATATACCATACATAACAGGGATCGGACGCATAGAATCATATATTAACCATGTACACAAAATGCATAACAAGGGGATACGGATGCATAGACCCACATACATAAGACAAGAATACGGACATAGGTCCCACATAGGTCCACGCATAGAATTACATATATCCGACCGTATAGAATCAAATGCATAACAAGGGGATAATGCTGAACCCCATATAGACACAAAATGGTCCATAAATAAGGATCCCGGACGCATAGAATCACACATACATAAGACAAAAATACGGGGATACGGATGGTCCGTATACATAATACGGACGCATAGGACGCATAGAATCCGGACATATATTCAATATTAGCCGTATAGACACAAAATGCATAACAAAGGATACGGATGCATAGACCCATATAAGACAAGAATACGGACGCATAGGTCGCAATACATAACAGGGATCCGGACGCATAGAATTACATATATATTAAACCGCATAGACACAAATGCATAACTAAGGGGATACATGCATAGACCCACATATATAAGACAAGAATACGGACATAGGTCCGCATATACCACAGGGATCCGGACGCATAGAATCATATATTAACCGTATAGACACAAATGCATAACAAGGACACGGATGCATAGACCCACATACATAAGACAAGAATACGGACGCATAGGTCCGCATACATAACAGGGATCCGGACGTATAGAATCACATATATTAACCGTATAGACACAAATGCATAACAAGGGACATGGATGCATAGACCCACATACATAAGAGACAAGAATACGGACGCATAGGTCCGCATACATAACAGGGATCCGGACGCATAGAATCACATATATTAACCGTATAGACACAAAAATGCATAACAAGGGGGATCGGATTTTTATAGACCCACATACATAAGACAAGAATACGGACGCATAGGTCCACATACATAACAGGGATCCGGACACATAGAATCACATATATTAACCGTATAGACACAAATGCATAACAAGGGATACGGATGCATAGACCCACATACATAGACAAGAATACGGACATAGGGTCCGACATACACATATATTAACCGTATAGACAAATGGGATCCGGACGACCCATAGAATCACATATCCACATAACAGGGATCCGACGCATAGAATCACATACATATAGACAAGGGGATACGGATGCATGACCCACATACATAAAGAGACAAGAATACGGACGCATAGGGTCCGCATACATAACAGGGATCCGGACGCATAGAATCATATATATTAACCGTATAGACACAAATGCATAACAAGGGGATACGGATGCATAGACCCACATACATAAGACAAGAATACGGACGCATAGGTCACATACATAACAGGGGATCGGACGCATAGAATCCATATATTAACGGATAGTTACCTCAAATGCATAACAGGGATACGGGATACGGATGCATAGACCCACATACATAAGACAAGAATACGGACGCATAGGTCCGCAAGTATATATAACAGGGATCCGACGCATAGAATCCTATTAACCGTATAGACACAAATGCATAACAAGGGATACGGATGCATAGACCCCACATACATAAGACAAGAATACGGACGCATAGGTCCACGCATACATAACAGGGATCCGGACATAGAATCACATATATTAAACTGTATAGAACAAAATGCAACAAGGGATCCGGATGCATAGACCCACACATAAGACAAGAATACGGACGCATAGGTCCACATACATAACAGGGGATCCGGACGCATAGAATCACATATATTAACCGTTATAGACACAAATGCATAACAAGGGGATACGGATGCATAGACCCACATACATAAGATGTTGAATACGGACGCATAGTTCCACATACATAACAGGGATCCCGGACGTATAAATCACATATATTAACCGTATATAGACACAAATGCATAACAAGGGGATACGGATGCATAGACCCACATACATACAGAATACAACGATAGGTCCGCATACGGCGCATGGAATCACATATATTAACCGTATAGACAGGTCCGTGCATAGACCCACAACAGGACGCATGGTCCAGACGCATAGAATCACATATCCGGACGCCGTATAGACACAAATGCATAACAAGGGGATACGGATTGCATAGACCCACTTACATAAGACAAGAATACGGACGCATAGGTCCGCATACATAACAGGGATCCGGACATAGAATCACATATATTAACCGTATAGACACAAATGCATAACAAGGGATACGGATGCATAGGACCCACATACATAAGACAAGAATACGGACGCATAGGTCCGCATACATACTGGGGATCCGGACGCATAGAATCACATATATTAACCGTATAGACACAAATGCATAACAAGGGGATATGGATGCATAGACCACATACATAAGACAAGAATACGGACGCATGGGTCCCACATACATAACAGGGATCGGACGCATAGAATCACATAACCGTATAGACAAAATGCATAACAAGGGGATACGGATGCATAGACCCACATAATAAGACAAAATACGGACGCATAGGTCCCACATACATAACAGGGATCCGGACGCATAGAATCACATATATTAACCGTATAGACACAAATGCATAACAAGGATACGGACGCATAGACCCCACATACATAAGACAAGAATACGGACGCATAGGGTCCGCATACATAACAGGGATCCGGACGCATAGAATCACATATATTAAACTGTATAGACACAAATGCATAACAAGGGATACGGACGCATAGACCCATACATAAGACAAGAATACGGACGCATAGGTCCGCATACATACAGGGGATCCGGACGCATAGAATCACATATATTAACCGTATAGACACAAATGCATAACAAAGGGATACGGATGCATAGACCCACATACATAAGACAAGAATACGGACGCATGGGTCCGCATACATAACAGGATCCGGACGCATAGAATCACATATATTAACCGTATGAACACAAATGCATAACAAGGGATACGGACGCATAGACCCACATACATAAGACAAGAATACGGACACAGGTCCACATACATAACAGGGATCCGGACGCATAGAATCACATATATTAACCGTATAGACACAAATGCACAACAAGGGGATACGGATGCATAGACCCCACATACATAAGACAAGAAAACGGACGCATGGGTCCACATACAAACAGGATCCGACCGCATAGAATCACATATATTAACCGTATAGGACACAAATGCATAACAAGGGATACGGATGCATGAACTTACCGACATAAGACAAGAATACGGACGCATAGGTCCACATACATAACAGGGATCCGGACGCATAGAATCACATATATTAACCGTATAGACACAAATGCATAACAAAGGGATACGGATGCATAGACCCCACATACATAAGACACAAATGAATACGGGACGCCCTTATAAGGTCCGCATACATATTAGGGGATCGGACGCATAGAATCATATATATTAACCGTATAGACACAAATGCATAACAAAGGGGATACGGATGCATAGACCCATACATAAGACAAGAATACGACGCATAGGTCCGCATACATAGCAGGGATCCGGACATAGGAATCATATATTAACCGTATAGACACAAATGCATAACAAGGGATACGGATGCATAGACCCACATACATAAGACAAAAGAATACGGACGCATAGGTCCGCATACATAACAGGGATCGGACGCATAGAATCACATATATTAACCCGTATAGACACAAATGCATAACAAGGGATCCGGATATAGACCCCATACATAAGACAGAATACGGACACATAGGTCCGCATACATAACAAGGGATCCGGACGCATAGAATCACATATATTAACCGTATAGACACAAATGCATAACAAAGGGATGGACGCATAGACCCACATACATAAGACAAGAATACGGACGCATAGGTCCGCATACATAACAGGGATCCGGACGCATAGAATCACATATAAACCGTTTAGACACAAATGCATAACAAGGGATACGGATGCATAGACCCACATACATAAGACAAGAATACGGACGCATGGGGTCCGCATACATAACAGGGATCCGGACGCATAGAATCACATATATTAACCGTATAGACACAAATGCATAACAAGGGGATACGGATGCATAGACCCACATACATAAGACAAGAATACGGACGCATAGGTCCGCATATACATAACAGGGGATCCGACGTATAGAATCACATATATTAACCGTATAGACACAAATGCATAACAAGGGGATACGGATGCATAGACCTTACATACATAAAGACAAGAATACACGGACGCATGGTCGCATACATAACAAGGATCGGACGCATAGAATGCATATATTAACCGTAGACACAAATGCATAACAAGGGGATACGGATGCATAGACCCACATGCATAAGACAGAATACGGACGCATAAGGTCCACATATAACAGAATCGGACGTATGATCCGCATATAACCGTATGAACACAAATGCATAACAAGGGGATACGGATGCATAGACCCACATACATAAGACAAGAATACGGACGCATAGGTCCACATACATAACAGGGATCGGATGACCAGAATCCACACATATAATAACCATGTAAGAACCTGAAATACGCCAACAAAGGGGATCCGGATGCATGGAGCCCATCCAGAACAGAATACGGACGCATAGGTCCCACATACATAACAGGGGATCGGACGCATAGAATCCATATATTGACCGTATAGACACAAATGCATAACAAGGGGATACGGATGCATAGACCCACATACATAAGAGAAAGAATACGGACGCATAGGTCCACATACATACAGGGATCCGGACGCATAGAATTACATATATTAACCGTATGAACACAAATGCATAACAAAAGGTACGGATGCATAGACCCACAAATAAGGCAAGAATACGGACGCATAGGATACGGGACGCATAGACACATATATATTAACCATGTAGACACAAATACAAGGGGATGCAGACAAGACCCACATACATAAGACAAGAATACGGACGCATAGGTCCACATACATAACAGGGATCCGGACGCATAGAATCACATACATTAACCGTATAGACACAAATCCATAACAAAGGGGATACGGATGCATAGACCCACATACATAAGACAAGAATACGGACGCATGTCCAAATACATAACAAGGATCGGACGCATAGAATTATATAATTAACCATATGACAAATGCATAACAAGGGGATACAGACGCATGAACCCACATACATAAGACAAGAATACGGACATAGGTCCGCATACGCTCTGGGGATCCGACGCATAGAATCACATATATTAACCGTATAGACACAAATGCATAACAAGGGGATACGGATGCATAGACCCACATACATAAAGACAAGAATACGGGACGCATAGGTCCACATACATAACACAGGGATCCGACGATAGAATCATATATTAACCGTATAGACACAAATGCATAATAGGGGATACGGATGCATAGACCCACATACATAAGACAAGAATACGGACGCATAACAAGGTCCCGCATGCATAACAGGGATCGGACATGCTTAAGTCCATATATTAACCGTATAGACGCAAATGCATATGAAGGGATCCGGATGCATAGACCCACATACATAAGACAAGAATACGGACGCATGGGTCCCCCTTACATAACAGGATCCGGACATAAATCACATATATTAACCGTATAGACACAAATGCATAACAAGGGATACGGATACATAGACCCACATAACAAAATACGGGATGGGATCACGCCAGACACGCATGAACCCCACCGTATAGACACAAATGCAAACAAAGGGGATACATGCATAGACCACATACATAAAGACAGAATACGGACGCATGGGTCCACCTTATGCTGAGGATCCGGACGTATAGAATCACATATATTAACCGTATAGACACAAATGCATAACAAGGGATACGGATGCATAGACCCACATACATAAGACAAGAATACGGACGCATAGGTCCGCATACATAGCACAGGGGATCCGGACGCATGAATCCATATACAAACCCGTAGACACAAATGCATAACAAGGGATACGGATGCATAGACCCACATAAGACAAGAATACGGACGCATGGGTCCGCATACATAACAGGGATCCGGACATAGAATCACATATACAACCGTATAGACACAAATGCATAACAAGGGGATACGGATGCATAGACCCACATACATAAGACAAGAATATGGACATAGGTCACATACATAACAGGGATCCGGACGTATAGAATCACATATATTAACCGTGCGACTGGAATGGCATAACAAGGGGATACGGATGCATAGACCCACATACATAAGACAGAATACGGACGCATAAGGTCCGCATACATATGCCAGGGACCCATATCCGGACGCATAAATCACATATATTAACCGTATAGAACACAAATGCATACAAGGGATACGGATGCATAGACCCACATACACAAGACAAGAATACGACGCACAGGTCCACCTACATAACAGGGATCCGACGTATAGAATCACATATATTAACCATGTAGACACAAAAATGCATAACAAGGGGATACGGATTACATGACCCACATACATAAGACAAGAATACGGACGCATGGGTCCACATACATAACAGGGATCCGGACGCATAAATCACATATATTAACCGTATGAACACAAATGCATAACAAGGGGATACAGACGCATGAACCCACATACATAAGACAAGAATACGGACACAGGTCCACATACATAACAGGGATCGGACGCATAGAATCACATATATTAACAAATATAGACACAAATGCATAACAAGGGGATACGGATGCATAGGACCCACATGCATAAGACAAGAATACGGACGGACAGGTCCACATACATAACAGGATCCGGACGCATAGAATCACATATATTAACCGTATAGACACAAAAATATAACAAGGGGATACGGATACACAGACCACATACATAAAGACAAAATACGGACGATGGGTCACATATATAACAGGGATCGGACGCATAGAATCACATATATTAACCGTATAGACACAAATGCATAACAAGGATGCGGATGCATAGACCCACATACATAAGACAAGAATATACGGACGCATAGGTCCCCACATAATAACAGGGATCCGGACGCATAGAATCCGCATATATTAACCGTATAGACACAAATGCATAACAAGGGATACGGATTACATAGACCCACATACATAAAGACAAAATACGGACACATGGGTCCACATACATAACAGGGATCCGGACGCATAGAATCACATATACACCGTATAGACACAAATGCATAACAAGGGGATACGGACGCATAGACCCACATACATAAAGACAAGAATACGGACGCATAGGTCCACATACATAACAGGGATCCGGACGCATAGAATCACATATATTAACCGTATGAACAAATGCATAACAAGGGGATACGGATGCATGAACCCACATACATAAGACAAGAATACGGACGCATAGGTCCACATACATAACAAGGGATCCGGACGTATAGAATCCACATATATTAACCGTATATGACACAAATGCATAACAAGGGGATACGGACGCATGACCCACATACATAAGACAAGAATACGGACGCATAGGTCCCGCATACATAACAGGGATCCGGACGCATAGAATCACATATATTAACCGTATGAACACAAATGCATAACAAGGGGATACGGATGCATAGACCCACATACATAAGAACAAGAATGCGGACGCGCCAGGTCCGCATACATAACAGGGATCCGGACGCATAGAATCACATATAATAACCAGTATGAACACAAATGCAAACAAATTGATACGGATGCATAGACCCACATACATAAACAAGAATACGGACGCATGGGTCCACATACATAACAGGGATCGGACGCATGAATCACATATATTAACCGTATAGACACAAATGCACACTTTCAAGGGGATACGGCGCATAGACCCATACATAGGAACAACAAAGAATATACCGACATAGGTCACATACCTGCTGGGGATCGGACATACGCATAGAATCACATATATTAACCGTATAGACACAAATGCATAACAAGGGGACGGATGCATAGACCCCACATACATAAAGACAAGAATACGGACGCATAGGTCCGCATACATAACAAGGGATCCAGACGCGCCAGAATCACATATAATAACCGTATAGACACAAATGCATAACAAGGGGATACGGACGCATAGACCCACATACATAAGACAAGAATACGGACGCATGGGTCCACATACATAACAGGGATCGGACATAGAATCATATATTAACCCGTATGAGAACACAAATGCATAACAAGGGGATACGGATGCATAAACCCACATACATAAGACAAGAATACGGACGCATAGGTCCACGCCATAACAGGGATCGGACATAGAATCGCATATATTAACCGTATGAACACAAATGCATAACAAGAGGGATACGGATGCATGAACCCACATACATAAGACAAGAATACGGACGCATGGGTCCCACATACATAACAGGGATCCGGACGCATGGAATCACATATATTAACCCGTATAGGCACAAATGCACGCCAGGGGATACGGATGCATGAACCCCACATACATAAGACAAGAATACGGACGCATGGGTCCCGCATACATAACAAGGATCCGGACGCATAGAATCACATATATTAACCGTATGAACACAAATGCCATAACAAGGGAATACGGATACAGACGCCCACATACATAAGACAGAATACGGACACATGGGTCCACACATACATAACAAGGGATCGGACGCATAGAATCACATATATTAACCGTATAGACACAAATGCATAACAAAAGGGGATACGGACATGAACCCACATACATAAGACAAGAATACGGACTCATGGGTCCACATACATAACAGGGGATCCCGGACGCATAGAATCACGCTTATATATTAACCGTATAGACACAAATGCATAACAAGGGATACGGACGCATGAACCCATACATAAGACAAAATACGGACGCATGGGTCCGCATACATAACAGGGATCGGACGTATAGAATCATATATTAACCGTATAGACACAAATGCATAACAAAGTGGATACGGATGCATGAACCCACACATAAGACAACAATACGGACGCAGGTCCACATACATAACAGGGATCCGGACGCATAGAATCACATATATTAACCGTATGAACACAAATGCATAACAAGGGATACGGACGCATAGACCCACATACCATAAGACAAGAATACGGACATAGGTCACATACATATAACAAGGATCCGGACGCATAGAATCACATATATTAACCGTATAGACACAAATACATAACAAGGGATACGGATGCATAGACCCACATACATAGGAACAGAATACGGACGCAGGTCCACATACATATGAGGGATCCGGACGCATAGAATCATGTATAAACCGACGCATAATCACATAACACAAATGCAGACACAAAGGGGATACGGACGCATAGACCCCATACATAAGACAAGAATACGGACGCATAGGTCCACATACATAACAGATCCGGACGCATAGAATCACATATATACAACCGTATAGACACAAATGCAACAAGGGGGATACGACGCATAGACCCATATACATAAGAGACAAGAATACGGACGTATGGGTCCGCATACATATAGGGATCCGGACACATAGAATCACATATATTAACCGTATGAACACAAATGCATAACAAGGGGATACGGATGCATAGACCCCACATACATAAGACAAGAATACGGACGCATAGGTCCCACATACATAACAGGGATCCGGACGCATAGAATCACATATATTAACCGTATGAACACAAATGCATAACAAGGGGATGCGGACGCATAGACCCACATACATAAGACAAGAATACGGACGGAGTCATAGGGTCACATCACATATATAACTGGAACAGGGATCGGACGACCCACACAAGACATGGAATCCGATACATATACGTTAATATATTAACCGTATAGACACAAATGCATAACAGGGGATACGGACGAGCAGACCCACATACATAAGACAAGAATACGGACGCATGGTCCACATACATAACAGGGATCGGACGCATAGAATCATATATTATTAACCGTATAGACACAAATGCATAACAAGGGGATACGGATGCATAGACCCACATACATAAGACAAGAATACGGACGCATAGGTCCGCATACATAACAGGGATCCGACGCATAGAATCACATATATTAACCGTATAGACACAAATGTATAACAAAGGGATACGGATGCATAGACCCACATACATAAGACAAGAATACGGACGCATAGGTCCCACATACATAACAGGGATCCGGACGTATAGAATCACATATATTAACCGTATAGACACAAATGCATAACAAGGGGATACGGACGCATAGACCCACACATACATAAGACAATAGAATACGGACGCATGGAATCATATTAACCGTATACAAATGCAACAGGGATCCGACGCATAGAATCACATATAGGTCCAACCGTATAGACACAAATGCATAACAAGGGGATACGGGATGCATAGACCCACATACATAAGACAAGAATAGGACGCATAGGTCCACATACATACAGGATCCGGACGCATAGAATCACATATATTAACCGTATAGACACACAAATGCAGACCCAACAAAGATACGGACGCATAGACATAATAGGATCCGACATACATAAGACAAGAATACGGACGCATAGGTCCACATACATAAGACAAGGGATCCGGACGTATAGGGATCACATGTATTAACCGTATAGACACAAATGCATAACAAGGATACGGATGCATAGACCCACATACATAAGACAAGAATACGGACGCATAGGTCCACATACATAACAGGGATCCGGACGCATAGAATCACATATATTAACCGTATAGACACAAAATGCATAACAAGGATACGGACGCATAGACCCACATACATAAGACAAGAATACGGACATAGGTCCACACATACAACAGGGATCCGGACGCATAGAATCACATATATTAACCGTATAGACACAAATACGGATGCATAGAACAAGGGAATACGGACGCCAGGGACCCAGAATCACATATAAGACACAAATGAATACGGACCCACACATAAGACAAGCTATTAGGTCCACATACATAACAGGGATCCGGACGCATAGAATCACATATATTAACCGTATAGACACAAAATGCATAACAAGGGGATACGGATGCATAGACCCACATACATAAGACAAGAATACGGACGCATAGGTCCACATACATAACAGGATCCGGACGCATAGAATCACGCTATATTAACCGTATAAACAAAACGCATAGCAACATAAGACAAGAATACGGATCTGATACATAACAGGACCCACATACATAAGACAAAAATGAATACGGACGCATAGGTCCCGCATACATAACAGGGATCGGACGTATAGAATCACATATACAAAATAACGTATAGACACAAATGCATAAATCACAAGGGACATACGGATGCATAAGAGACAAGAATACCCACATACATAACAGGGATCCGACGCACAAGAATAGACACAAATGGACGCATGACAAGGTCCACATACATAACAGGGATCCGGACGCATAGAATCACATATATTAACCGTATAGACACAAATGCATAACAAGGGATACGGATGCATAGACCCACATACATAAGACAAGAATACGGACGCATAGGTCCCACATACATAAGGCATTAACCGGACAAATGCATCGGACGTATAAGAGACAAGAACATATATTAACCCGGACGCATAGAATATATACGCAAAATGCATAACAAGGGATACGGATGGTCCATACATAACAGGACCCATAGAATCACATATATTAACCGTATAGACAAAATACATGGACGCATGGGTCCCAGGTCCACATACATACAGGGATCCGGACGCATAGAATCACATATATTAACCGTATAGACACAAATGCATAACAAGGGGATACGGATGCATAGACCCACATACATAAAGACAAGAATACGGACGCATAGGTCCGCACACATAACAGGGATCCGGACGCATAGAATCACATATATTAACCGTATAGACACAAATGCATAACAAGGGGATGGATGCATAGACCCACATACATAAGACAAGAATACGGACGCATAGGTCCGCATACATAACAGGGATCCGGACGCATAGAATCACATATATTAACCCTGTATAGACACAAATGCATAACAAGGGGATACGGATGCATAGACCCACATACATAAGACAAGAATACGGACGCATAGGTCCACATACATAACAGGGATCCGGACGCATAGAATCACATATATTAACCGTATAACACAAATGCATAACAAAGAATGGCATAGGTCCGCATACGGGATCCGCATAGACCCATATATTAACTACACAAATGAAATAAGGACATGACATAGAACCATATACAGACGAATACGGACGCACGTCCACATACATAACAGGGATCCGGACGTATAGAATCACATATATTAACCGTATAGACACAAATGCATAAATAAGGGGATACGGATGCATAGACCACATACATAAGACAAGAATACGGACGCATAGGTCCACATACATAACAGGGATCCGGACGCATAGAATCACATATATTAACCGTATAGACACAAATGCATAACAAGGGATACGGATGGTCATAGACCCACATACATAAGACAAAATGAATACGGACGCATAGGTCCACGCATACATAACAGGGATCCGACGCATAGAATCACATATATTAACCGTATAGAACTGGAAATGCATAACAAGGGGATACGGATGCATAGACCCACATACATAAGACAAGAATACGGACGCATAGGTCCACATACATAACAGGGATCCGGACGAATCACATATATTAACTGTAATCACATGCATAGACCCACATACATAAGACAAGAATATGGACGCATAGGTAACAAATAGGATCCGGACGCATAGACCCACATACATAAGACAAATGCATAACGGACATGGGACCCACATATACATAAGACAAGAACATGGACGATAGGTCCACATACATAACAGGGATCCGGACGCACAGAACTCATATTAACCGTATAGACACAAATGCATAACAAGGGGATACGGATGCATAGACCCACATACATAAGACAAGAATACGGGAATACGGACGCATGGGGATCCGACGCATAGAATCACATATACAACTGTATAGACACAAAATGCATAACAAGGATCGGACGCATAGACATACATAAGATATTCCACATAC